TGACAGGACAACGGGTAACGGGTTAAAACTTAAACAGGGGAAGTTTTGATGGAACATAAGGAGGAAGCTCTTTCCTGTCAGGGTGGTGAGGCACTGGAATGGGTTGCCCAGGGAAGCTGTGAATGCTCCATCCCTGGTACTGTCCAAGGCCAGGTTGGACAGAGCCTTGGGTGGCATGGTTTAGTGTGAGGTGTCCCTGCCCATGGTAGCGGGGTTGGAACTGTATGATCTTAAGGTCCTTTCCAACACTAACTAGTCTAGGATTCTGTGATTCAAAGTCTGTAGGAATTGGATCATGAAACCAGACTGTGTTAGCTTATCCTGTAGGCAAGGTGGCATGTTGTGTGTGGATACATGTAGGTGGCACACCTGAGTAGCTTGCATTGAGATGGCGTAGGTTCCCCAGAGCAGGGAAGGCTGTGCTTTGGTATGAACCTGCACCAAAGCTACCAGGGAGATTGGCACTGAAATCCAGGAATTCCTTAGTGGCATCCTCACTGATGAACTTATTTTTCAACAAAGAGTTTGAAGTCCCTTTAATCCTTTATTTCCATGCTGAAGTATCAGAGTAGTTGCCACTGTTTCCTAGGGTTGGTGCTAGTAAATTACTCCGCGCGTATTTTGTTTACAATGCCAACTATCAAGGAAGTAATGCCTGTACTGTAGCTGTCCACTGGGGTAGAGACTAGAGGCAAAAGTTACCATTGTTATTTTAGTTACGGCTTTCCTTGTAAGGCCTCGAATTAGCAAAGCGTTTAAGGAAAAAGTTTACTCATCCAAGCGTTTTAGCATATACTCATGTTCCTAGCCAGTGACAACAGGTAATGTCCTTGGATTTTTGTTGCAAGTTACTTGGCTGGGGAATACTCGAGCTCTTCTAGTCCCCAGTAATTCATCCAAATAGGGAAAATGCAATTTTAAGTTGGACTAAACCCCAAAACATTCAGTAGTTTTGAATTTAGAAGAAAAACGTGGATACTGTCAAGTTGAAACGTTTATTCTTGATTTTATTAAATATCAGTACAGATTGATATTTGATAAAAGGAGCACATTGCCTTTTAATTGTGAACATTTCAGCTAAAATTTGTTTTGGATTAAAAATCCTGAATTTGGACTAGAAGATGGTGAAGGGAAATGTTCAACTTTATTCTCGGTTGTAAAAGTTCAAAGTCATTGTTATTATTTGCTAAATTGCTTCAAAACTTAAATCTGTCACAGCTCCTTCCTTCAGTCCTAAGAGGATGAGAGGGGCTTGGGGAGGTCATTAAAGTGGAAACCTTTATAAGGGTCTGTGAGATTAGTTCCCAAAATGTTGTTCTAGCAGTCACCTTGTGATGGAGACAATGGGGGAGATGGTGTCTACAGAGTCTTCAGATAACAATTAACTTCAGTTTTATCATGACACTTCACCCTTGTTTAAATAATTTGTTTATATAAAAAAGTGAGTGAAGGTAATTGTGGGGTTTGGGTTTTTTTATACCCATTTCTCTATTGGGTTTCTATTATAGAAATAGAACAATGCTAGCTGGGGGTGTATCACTGACTTGGTAGACTTGGTGGCCTCTGCATACTTTAAAATCGTGTTTGTGGGAGAGCATATAGAGCTGATTCTGCATTTGATGTGCTTTAATCATTTAGAGAAGCCATCTTCCATCAGTGGTAAAAAGATTAGCAACTTAGTCCCACTACCACTCTGAGTAACAGCTTGGCACTCTTAGCGCAGTGAGCTGTACTGTGTCTCCAGCCTTCTGCAGCATGAGACAGCCTTAACTAAGGGGAGGTGGGCAGAAAGTCTTTAGAAATGTTCTTAACAAACAGGTTTCCATGCAGCAGCCCATAGTGTCAAGGGGTGTCAAAAGAAAGGAATTCAAGCTGTTTTGATGGTGCGTGGCATGCAGTGTCTCTCAAGCCTGATATTTTTGGTATGAGATTAGCTGTTTCAATTGTGTTGTAGTAGGTTTCTGCAGGAAAGTTAAGAGAAACCGGTTTGATCTGTTTTGTTATTCCATTTTCTGGCTCTGGTGCCACAGGGCGGTTAGGAGGATTGCAGTGTTGTAGACATGCTTAGATGATGCAGAACCACCCACAGCTATTTGTTTATTTTTCCATTAAAAACAGTGCTAGATGAAACACTTTCCTGTTGTTTCCATTAATACATTTTAACTTTGGCTGTGCTCCAAAATACTGAAATTTTAACTGAACACTGATAGAGTTTTCAGTTTTCCTTTTGCAGTAGGTGATTCTGAGACTCTGCAGATAATTGTTACTGAAAGAGTGTGCATAGGGTCCTAGAAACACAGGTAAAGCAGAAAGACTGGCAAAGCAAACTGCACCCCTCAGACTGAAGCCTTGAAAATGGCTGTTATCTGTGGTGAATGTTTAAATAATCCTTCAGTAAATCTCTTGAAGAGGTCAGTGTCTGTGGGCAAATTAGAAATCTGGGGTTTGCATTATCTGTTCCTTTTCAACTGTCTTCTGGATGTGTTTACTGCATGTAGAATCTTACTGAAACCTGCAGCGTGCTTGTGGCCTGTCTTGGTGTTATAGACAGGAGAACTGTCATCAAAACCCCCTGATATGTGTCTTTGCAAGTTACACAGTAATGAAGGAGATTAAGTCAAACTTATGCAGTTAATTCTGTCAATGCCCTGTCTAACCACAAAGGGACATAAAAGGAGGCGAATTGCATGTTAACAGCATTCCTGCTTTCCTGAAGCATTTTAGAAACCTGTCCCTCTTCACTGCTTGGCTATCTATTACTTCCTTTTCCAAAAAAAGCTCGTGGAAACTGGCTAAGAGTCCAGAAAGCAGAACAGGGTTTTGAATCCAACTCTCCTATAACTGCTGTTCTAAGCATCGCTGGTGCTAATACCACTATTCTTAGTGGAACTGGTCCCTGAAGTCTCAGTTGCGGCACTCAGTATCTTCTGCAGTACGGTCATGAGAGTCTTTGTGCAGTGGTTTCTCAAGTACTGTGGGTTAAGGCTTGAAAAGTTATTTCTCTCCTTGTCACTGTTGGATTTAGCTATTGCTTTTTAAAACTATACATCCTTTAAGTAACAGAGCCAAGCAGATAGCTGAGCTTCCTTCTAGCAGTGAGCATTAAGTGAAGATGTACATGACCCTGGGCTACCGGACTACTTCTGTTACCTTGAACTACCTGCAAAGGCAGGGTTCCAAATACTGTAAAATCACAACAGTTAAATCCCATAACGTCAGCCTCTCTGCATCTTAAAACAGGAAACCATGGGAGCTTGCACCACAGTTAGGAAACAGCTGTAGCCCCATGGAGTTAGCAAGGCCAACAAAGACATAAAGGGGATGAGCAAGTAGAGCAGTTGAAATACTTTCTCCCCCACAAATGTGATCCCTCTCTTACAAATCAGGTGCACTGTTGAGAAAGTTAAGAGAGAAACAAAAGCTTCTGTTCTCTCCTGCTTAAAGTGTAAAACACTATGGATTAAATCCTCAACCCTACTCTCTTCTGGGGTAAAAGAGCCAGGACATGTTAAAGAAGATCCAGAAGACAACAAATTAAGATGTAGTGGAAGCCTATTGCCTTCTTTCTCAGTGCAGACAGCTGCTTTCCCAAAATCACTTCCAAAAGTCCTGTCCATGTAGGAAATTACATGGTTTTAGCTGTTACCCACCATCAGAAGTATTTCACATGCATTTCAATCATGCACAAAAAAAAGTGAGGGAAAAAATCATAATATGTTACTTTATTTGTAGCTAAAGAAGACTGTGCAGTTACTGTGAGGAGTGTTTAGGGCATGGTGTTTTTTGTTAGCTTCTCTAGTGTAGCAGAAAACTTGTCAGTAATGGAAGAGGATGCAATAGCATTAAAACTATTTGATTAGCAACTTGCCTTATTTACTTGGAGTATGAGTTTTGATCTGTTCCCATTTCCAGCACCTAAGTTGCCAAGTATTTTAAATGCTGTAGCTGAGGCATCTAGAAAATGTCATCACCGCTTGTTAATTTATGAGAGGCTCTGAGAAGCTGCAGGGCAGTCTGGCCAAGGAGGGAAAAAATGCTCCACCACATGGTGTTCCAGATCAATGATGGTATAGTGATATCCGTATTCACCGATCAGTGAACTGTACAGGTCCCATTTTATCAAACTTCTGCCCTGTGGTGATCAGCTTGTACATAGTGATCAATCTGTGTGCTGGGGTCCCCACACACTCCTAACTAAGAGGTGTCATTTGCCATGTGTTTGAGTGAAACCCTGATTTCCCAATGCAAAGTAAACCCACGGCTGCATGTGCACAGACGGATGAGGGTGGGATTATTCAAGGTAAGGTTATCCTGTCTGTGCTAACACAGTAGGAGACTAATGAAGGAAGGATTTTACTGTTAAAAATGACACACTACACTTCTATGTGCACAAATATTGCGTGTACTGCCATTGGAAATGTAGTTGCAGTCCTTCAGGATGTTCCCAAGCTAACTAACTAGTATGGATCAACTGACCATGCAGCAAAGATAACAGCACAGGCATCAACTGCTCACCTACAGCCCTTAGTGTACTTTCTACTGTGCTGTTGCTACTCAACCTGTACTACAGTTACCCTTCTCACTGCAGTGTAGATGCAGCCTCAGCAGCCAGTGGCAAGTCCTCACACTCTTCTGTTTTGATCAGAATTACAGGAAGGCAGAGTGGTATCTGGGGCCAGCCCCAATCTTCCCCCTCATAGGTGCTCCCCTCCCAGTGATGTCAAATACCTCATTTCAGTGGTGACATGGCACAAAAGGAAGTGCTGTGTGAAATTACTGCTCTCTTTCTCTTTTGTACGTATCAGAGACTGAATTCCCTTCCTTGTTAGTTTGTATTTCAAGGCAAAATAGCTGACTCTTTTGGGTTGATGGAAGAATCCAGATCAGTCTGGTGAAACCTGGCATTAAGTATTCCTTATGTACCAGAATGGAGAAAATTATTTTAATTACTTTGGTTTTCCTTTGCTTGTTCTAAATCCCCCTGCATGTCTCTTGAACAGGCCCAGAGCCCTTGGCTTCCCCACTATGGAGCAGTTGATGTCTATTTTACTGGCATGGCTGACTGCTTCCGGCAAACTGTGAAGAACAAAGGTGTGCTTGGACTTTGGAGAGGGCTCACACCCAGTCTGCTCAAGGTGAGGTTTTGCTTTCATCCTGAAGAAATCAAGATACACATTTGGGCACTTGGGTTTTAAAGTTTATGGTATGCCTCTGTACTTGTTAGCAGTTTATAGATGAGAGGTATAACCTCAGGCAGTCTATAAACTAGCTTTGGAATTCAGACTGGGTCATATTTCCCCCAGTGTAAGCTTGGTTTCCAGATGTCACTACTTCCAAGTTCATTTGCATATCCTCAGAGAAGTGAGTGCTGCTAACATACAAGGTAGGGTACAGATGGAGGATTCCAAATGAACCACTTACAACAGCTAAACAAGTTTTACTTCTCAGGTGAGCTCCAGTAATTTGACATGTTGGACTAAGCTGTAAATAAAATTGCCCTTGTGTAAGCCATTTCCCCAGAAGTCAAAAGTAGTACTTTGGATCAGCTGTTTCAGGACATTGGTCGCTTGAGATTGACCTAGGAGATGACAGTCTTGTTCAAAAACATCCTGAATGACCAAGCAGCCTTTTTTCCAACTGGATTTGCCTATCCCACATTGCCCTCTTAGTCATCATTGCTCTTGTAGTAAGCGTGGGTAAAGCTCTTCCCGAATCTTCATTCGCGAAACCAAGCCATCGATGAGTCAATTGGTTACTACAGTCCTTGATGAGTTGAAACCATAAAATAAAACATGATAGCTTAAACAGAAGGTCATTTATTTTACATAAATACATTTTCTACTGCTGTGCTGAGGATTGCCTACATGGGGCACTACAGGTCAGCTACTGAGTGTTAATTGAATGAGTGTGATTGATTGTAATGGCCTGCATGTGCCTGGCCCGACCTCAGCTGGTGTAAAGCCACATGGCACCAGAGCTGCTCATCCTGCAAAGGGCAAAAGAAAATTGTACACTCTGCTTATGTAGAATAAATCCCACATTTCCTACTGGGATTTGCTGAGGTTGCTTAGGATTTGCTTAGGTATTTGACAAGTTGTGATAAGCTAGCACAGACCTTGTTCCTCCCAAATCTGTTATAATTAGTTATGTACCAATAATAAAACTACTTTTAGCATGCTGCAGGTGCCAGCCTAGTTTCACGTGAGAGTGACTATATAAATAAGTACAGCTCTGTTAGCAAATCAGATTTGAAGTCCTAGAAGTTTCCTGTTTTAAAACATCTCAGCTAAAAACGCTACTAGTGAGTCTCATCTTGCCTCTTTTTTATTCTTACGTTGCTTTTTTGTCATTATTTTATCAGATTGTCCCATACTTCGGTGTTATGTTTAGCACCTTTGAGTTCTGCAAGCGGGTCTGTCTGTACAGAAATGGTTATATTGAGTCTCCTTTAAATTACAAGCTAACCCCTGGCGTGGACCAGAGTTTACAGCCACAAGAACTGAGAGAGTTAAAGCGCCTCCGGAGGGAAAGTTTTGAGCCAAGGAAATCAGCTCTTGAAAACTGACATCAGAGTGTCTGTTGGAGATACACACACTGCCTTTTTTAAGGAACTTTGGAAGACAGACGCGCTCAGCCACAGGTACCAGAGTTTCAGCGGACTGTGTGGTTTTAATACCACGAACGAGTAAATCTTGTCTCTCATTTGCTGAACAGACACAAGCAATATGAATAGCAAGCACAGACTGAAGAGGAGAGGTGCAACTAGTCTGAAAACACTGTGCTATTGGAACTTGAACTTACGTTACTCGAGGTGCTTTATAATACAGAATAGCCATTTTGAGATAAAACCACTTGCAGAAAGGCAAGATAACTGAGGTGAGAGTAGAGACTGCATCTTAAAAGTAGTAAGAAAATTTAAATGGATATTTTTTAAGTAATCTGAAATACTGAGTCGGCCAAAAATTATGTACAACATGCAGAAATTTCTACTGAAATCTCTTTTTTTTGATAATACTGTGTAGATATGGCATTCGGTGGATGCAGAATTAGTGTCAGCTGTCACACTCCAGAATCCCCTCTTCAGTTTCTGAGACTTAGTCAAAGATAATAATTTTGAATGACTTTTTGGCTGAAAATATGCTGCAGCAACTGGGCTTTTGCTAAGAGAGAACTGTAATGTGCAAACAAACTGTAATAATCCGGAATGACAATCTTGAAAACTTAAGTGCATACTAGAAAATCTCCCTCCCTTTCTCCTGTGTTTTTACTGTGCATATGTGATTGTTTCAGGCTTTGAAAAACAGTTTTCCTGAAGCTCTCTATTTCCTGAAAATGTACATGTGTTGGGTGTTTCAGAGCCATGAGCCTTGTCACGTTGTTTTGGTATTCTTAAAGCTCTATTTTTATATTGAACTACTTTTGAGTTCCTGTGCACAGACCCAGGCCTGCTTTGCTGCTCAGAACTTGCCAGCAGGATAGGACTGTGAACACAAGTTGTGGTTTTTCCAGTTTAACTGCTGCGATCCAGGAGCCACAGATGGTTTCTGCAGGCAGCAACCTCTCTGCAAGACCACTGGGTTATTGCCAGCGCTGATGCAATTGATGATAGGCCTCTGAGCAGTCTAGTGAGCTTTTGGACAGTAAAAGATCATCTTGGTATTATAGCTGAAGACCTCCAGTTCCTTTGTAGAAGTACAGCTATGGAACAGCCCCGTCCTAGCGCCTTCTGGTAGAAAACCTTAAACCCTGTGTCTACGTGGGAAGGCTGTGACATGCCCACTTGCCAGGCTGTGGCAAGGTGTGAATTACAGCTGCTGTGTTCCTGCCCTGGCTACAGCAGCCTGGGCTCACACAGGATTTGCCTGCTGATTGGTGTGTGGTTTTGTACTCTTTATGTCCCTGCTGGGTGGAAATGAGTAAATCTCAGAAACTGCTTGGTTAGACCAGGTCACAGCAGGGTGAGGTAATGGAGATTGATGCAGGAACAGCCTGTGACCATGGCGTGAGATGTGCAGAAGGATTTATGATAACTTTAAGGCCTGGCTTGCACATAGAACCTGACACTGATGTACCCTACAGCTAAGGTCTTGCAGTATCTCTCTTAAAGAGCCTGCTCAGTTCTGCTTCAGAGTGCTTCATATTTGTTTTCTTCTCAGAGAAGAAATGCAAACATTGATAGCAAAAAATTAAGATGGTAGAGAGCAGATCTGGTGGCTCATGCATCACACTGTACATGCTTTTGGCTCTGTAGTCAACCTGCCTACTGACCGTGTTTATCTGGACCTCAGTTTCCCCAGCTGCACAGTGCAGGTGATAATGGTGAGACTTATTTGAGATGCGTGAATAAGGAGATGTGACTTGTGTTGGGGATGATCAGCTTTCTGTAGAGCCCCCTTGCCTTGTCCAGGCATACCTGTATGTTTTTTACTAACGTTGTATTTCTAAATAGATTTCAAAGATTGGGTGATGGGTGCGTGTGAATTTCTGATCAGCTCTTCAAACTTGCTAAGAGTCAAGTGAGTCCAAAAGGTACCTCTAATTTGTTTTGGATATGCTGATAAACACCTTTGTATTGTAATGTACTCCTAGGACCTATAAATCACTGACAAACATTTTCCCAACGAAGCCTCTGCTTTGCAAAATCACATCTGTGCAAGAGAAATCCCAAAAAGAGAACACTAAAATATTTAGGACAGCATTGAAACAAAGCGCTTTAGCAGTGGGTCACTGATGTGTAAAACGGTGTGTGATCACCAAGAACCAGCTGTCGCAGGGACAGCCGTTGGGCAGGTGAACTGTAGCTCAGGTGATGTTTGGATGCAGTGGAGGTTGGAGGGGTGCATGGTGGGGTACAGGTCTGAGCACCTCATCACAGCTGGGCTCAGGGAATACATACAGTGCCTGGAGGTCCGTGACTCCCTGAGCATCCGGTGTGCAGGTGACAGTACCGGCAGAGGGGTCGGGGTGGGGGTCACCCAGGGTGACACTAGTAGAGTTCTCCCAGTGGGGTCTGAGCCGCAGCGGTGCTGGGCTGTCTTCATGACAGCGCTCAGGCGGTGCCGATGGGCTCAGGGGGGACGCAAGGCCCCGCAGGGGCAGCCCAGCCAGCGCTCCCATGCTGGGCATTGGCGGTTCGCGCCCCACCTGAGGTTGCCAAGCCAGCACTGTCCCCCTCCCACAGTAGATGAGCGGGACGCGGCGGTGCATACCACCCAATGTGTCCACCACCACCCCCTATATAAGGCGGCCATTTCATCCTCCGCTGCAGTGGCGCCTCTCACCTCACCTCGCCTTCCACCGCCTCTCGCCATGACAGATGCGGCCCTGTCCTTCACTAAGGATTTCCTCACCGGTGGGGTGGCGGCCACCATCTCCAAGACCCCGTCGCCCTTATCGAGAGGGTGAAGGGGCTGCTACAGGTAAGGGCTGGGGCTGCAGCAAGGACGCGGGTGCCGGGGTCGGGGGGCTGTGGGGCAGTGGTGCTGACGGCTGTGTCTCGCCCTCCGCAGGTGAAGCACGCCAGCAAGCAGTTCTCACCCAATATGCACTAAAAGGGCACCGTCAATTGCATGGTGTGCATCCCCTGGGAGCAGGGCATCCTCTCCTTCTGGTGTGGCAACCTGGCCAGTGTGATCGGGAACTTCCCCAGCCAGGCCCTCAACTTTGCCTTCAGGGATAAGTACAAGCAGATCTTCCTGGATGATGTGGACAAGCAAATCCAGTTCTGGCGGTACTTTGCTGGTGACCTGGTGTCCGGGGGTGCTGCCGGTGCTACCTCCCTCTGCATCATCTGCTCACTTGACTTTGCCTCAACCCACCTGGGAGCAGATGTGGGCAAAGCCAAGGCTGACCAGGAGTTCAGTGGGCTCAGCGACTGCTTGCTCAATGTCTTCTGGTCGATGGCCTCAAGGGCCTGTACCAGGGCTTCAGTGTCTCTCTCCAGGGTATCATCATCTACAGAGCTGCCTACTTTGGCATCTATGACACTGCGAAGGGTAGGTTGACCAAAATGGCACTAAAAAGGGGATCCTGGGCTGCGTCAGGCCTGTAGTGACGTCCTGGTGGCTCACCAGCCATTCTCATCAAAACCTCTCTCCCACAGGCATGCTCCCAGACCCAAGGAACACCCCCATCATTGTCAACTGGATGATCGCTCAGACCGTCACTGCTGTCACTGGTTTCACATCATGCCCTTTTGAGACTGTCCGTCGTTGCACGATGATGCAGTCTGGTTGGAAAGGAGGTAAGTTTCTTCTTCCTTGCATAGAAAGTATCAGGCATCCCTGAATCAACAGTTGGTGGTGGAGCTGAGGTGAAGGCAGAGTGGCTTGGCTTTCACCAAGCTGTGTAGGTATCCTCACCCCTTGTAAGCTGGGGGTGTGAGAAAGGCTGCAGAAGTGGATTACAGACAGGGTGCATGAATGGCTTAATCTCCACAGCATACCTGTAAGGTGGTGTGCACAAGGCAGGTATACGTTCAGTGGGTAGGAACAGCAGAACTTGCCCAGGGATGTTGCAAACTAGTGTCTCTGGGCCAAGGGGAGCCATTCCTGGGAGCAGGCGCGGCCTGGCTGATTGTGCAATGGCTTTGGGGTCTGGAAATATTGGTGTCAAAGTAAACAGCAGCTGCCTTCTGCTCAGACTGTTCCTTCCCGTGTCTCCTAGGGGTTATGTAGCAGCAGTGTATCTCCTGGGCAATCTTGTGCTCTTACGTGCTAATACTGGAGAAAGTCAAGAAATGGGCTGCACTTGAGTTTATGAAGCTGGAGGATCTTAGGCCATGTTGAACCTGGATGTCATGTGTCATGGGCATCCGATTCCTGATGCTGTCTGTCTCCTGCAGCTGACATTATGTACATGGGCACCCTTGACTGCTGGTGGAAGATTGCCCAGGACGAGGGCTCCAAGGTGTTTTCAAAGGTGCATGGTCAACTGTACTTCGAGGAATGGGTGGTGCTTTTGTCTTGGTCCTCTGTGATGAAATCAAGAAGTACACATAAGTTGCTTTCTGTTGTGAACTGGCATGTTGTTACATATAGTCCACGACCGTTCATGGACTTGTTTGAAAACCATCTAGTTACTAAACAGCAACAGCTGATGTTTATACAGGTTGGCATGGGGCAGGAGCAACTGCCTGCCCTGCCTTTATCAAATTGTTCTCCCTGATGGGACTCACCATGGTTTCTATTTCAGTCACTCCTGCTTAAAGAGTACAAAGAAATAAAAATCTGAAACCAGCTTTCCTCATCTCATGTTTGTTCTTACAGCATGAGGGGGGTGGGAGACTGCAGTGACTATAGAGAAGGGGAGGAGAAGGAACCACCTCGATCCTGCACACCTCGCTACCTGCTAACTACCTCCAGCAGGTAAACACAGGGCTGTCTGCCAGAGCAGCTCTGCAGTGTTTCCTGCCCAGTGGTTCCCTGCCCAGGTGTGGGCTGAGGTGGCCCATGTGTGCTGGCTCTGTGCCACCGGTCCTGTCTCAGGCCTCTCTGCTCCCTGAAGGGGATGAAACCTTGTTTTGAAGGTGCCAAGTGTCTAAGTCTTCTTCTGCAAAGCACAGCCTTCCCCATGGTGCTGGATGCCTGGGAGGCTGGAGAGAGGTATTTGTTGCTGTCTGGAGGAGCAGAGCTGGCATCATGTGCTCTGGCTTAGAAACTGTGCTGTCTACTCAGGCATGCTAAAACCCAGCCAGAGAACCGAAGTGCAGGTAATTGCTGCTCATCTGTGGGCCTGCTTCACGCACGCATGGGATGTTGTGCTTTGGGGGTGTAGAGCTGGCCAGAGCTGCGCTTGCCAGGCAAGGAGTCACATCCCCAGGCTCATCTCTTACCACTAGAAGTTAAGCTTGTCGCAGCCCCCAAATTCTAGGGCAAGGGGGAAATTCCTTCATGCTTCTGGGGCAATGTGGGGCAAACACTGCAAGGCTGGGCAATGTGTGTGGCTCAGCCTTTACCCAGAGATCTCTGTGGGTCTGTGAGCATGCCACAGTGCAGCTGCCGGGTTTCTGACTGGGGAGCTGGGGTGGTGAGTGGATGGTCTGGTCCTCTGACCTTCAGATGAGTGAGTCTTCTCGCTGCCTCCATGCCTTTGGTCCTTTGGCTGTCCAGGCCTGCTCAAAGCAGTTGATCGCAATCACTGACACCAGGCTCAACCACTGCTGAAACAGCTAAACAATCTCTTATGTTGCAAAGTGTAGTAATTGTTCTTATTGCTGAAATCCAAATGGAGCAGCTGGGCATGAGTGTGCAGCACTGTCCTGCTGCAGGCAGCGGGACATGTGATCCTGTGAATGGCCATGTGTGTTCATGATGGGGAATGCATGTTGAGATTGCCACGCTGCTGAGCCAAAAGCCTTTGCTGATGCTTTTCAATTGCCCCTGGGCTCCTGGTGAGATCCCCCGCTGCCTGTGATCTATGGAGCAATGCCACACATGGCGGGCAGTGTGCTGAGGGCTGAGGAGAGAAGGCAGCAGGCTGACAGGGGGCTGCGCCATGGGGCAGTGTTACCGGGAGCCCTCTCCTGCACAAATGCTAGCTGATTAATGAAGGGCTCTTGGGTCTTACTGCTCCTGCTGCTAACATGTTCCAGATTTCAAGGGCTGCTCTGAAATGCTGCTGGTTGCTGAGCATGGCGCATCCTTTCCTCTCCCTTCTTCTACAGTGGATGTGTGGCTGGTCCGTTGGCACACAGGGGTAAGTGCAACATTTCTTCCTCCACACGGTGGTGGGTGACTGAGATGCTGAGCCAGGCTATTGTGTTGGGCTGCAAAGGAGCTGAGTTAGGGGACACATTAAGTCCTCAGCCCTACAGCATTTTGCACTGGGCTTGGGGTGCAGGGCTGGCACTGAGTGAAATGAGTTGTAACTACCCAGGTTAGTTACTGCATTTGGGACTTGGGAAACAAACACTGGGGCATGGGAGATGAGGGGTAGAGCCCTCAATGGGTTTTCCCTGCGCTGTGCTGCTGGGAGCACGGGCTGGCAGACCCCTCTGGCCTGGGGCTCCCATGGGATTTAACCTCCCTCTCCCGCCAGCTCCGCAGGAGGTTTTATCTGGGGAAGCAGGCTGGGGATTCAGCTGCTGTGTTTGCCTGTCACAGAAGGATATTACAGAGGGATTAAGGACTTTGTTCTTGTGGGGAAACTGAGGACAGGAAGGGGCCTGGTGCCAGCTAGTGGCAAAGCACTGAGACCAGGCTGTGCTGCCCTAAGATGGCAGGGTGGGTTTTCCTTTTGAATACAGTTCTCCCGTAGGTAGTGCTGAACATCTCATAGTTCAGAGTTTCCTCCACAGGAGCCATGCCCACCCTGGCGTACTGGCCCCATTGCTGGCAGGGAAGGGTGGGCAGGCGCCTGTATCGCTGCTTTCATCTTGGCCCCTCGTCTGGTGGCCATAAATCCCAGGCTTAGGAGCTGTTGATACAGCACGGCTGCACATGGGATTTGTGTGGAGCACTTGTCAGTGGCCGGGACAGGTGATGAATGGCGCTGGGTGTCTGGCCTTGCCCCTTGCCAGCTCTCTGCCACTGGGACCTCTCTGCCTGGGTTTGAGGCTGTGGGATCAGCCTTCATCTGGAGTGCCAGGAAAGGCAAGCCAAGGGCTGCCACCCTCTTGCTAGTGGGATTTGGGAGGTGCTAATGGCAACAGAGATGGGAACAAGGCTCTGGGACTTGTCCCATATGCAAGGAGTGATGGCTGAGCTTCCTTCCTCTCTCTGCTGGTGATGGGTGCAGGGCCAGGCAGTGACTGGGAGGACTGTGTGGGTTTTTTTTTGCAGGTTATGAGGAACAAGGCGTAACCCTGTAGAGCTATTCTGACACAGTAATTCATACTAGGTTCTTGTGAAGGTGTCTGGAAACTGGACTGGACTAAGCCATGAAACACGTAAAGGTATGTCTGGCCATGTGTGTTATTATTATTGGAATAGATCCCCTCTTCCACTTCAGTTTCACTCACTGCTTTGCTTTGGAATACCTCTGCATCCAGACAAGTTCTTACATACAGTATAGTGCTCGGTTACACAAACAAATCTATCGCTTGCCTGTATCTACAGATTTATAAAAACTAATGCTGGCTTTCACAGTAACACAAAATCTTGGCTCTTCTTTGCTCTGAACACTGCTGCAGATCACCCAGCTGCTGCCAGGATGTGGGAAACTCTGCAGAACGGTTAGTTTTATCTATTATAATAGACATTTAATCAAGCATTTGAACTAGGTGCCCCTGCTTCCTGTTGATACAGTCAGCTAACACCTTTTAGTTCATTTAGATCTAGAAATGAAAAACCCAACTTGATTTAAATTGTTGTGAACTAGATCTGGTCAGGATAAGTAATACATAATAATGTATTGGATCAGAGTCTCTGTGGAGATGTTTCAGCTGTTGACTGCATAACTAGAGTGTGTTAAAACTATCTCAGGGACTGCCAGTGGACAGACTACATACTCCCCTTTCTGACTTGAGTCCCTGGGCAAGTCCTGAGCCAACTAGGCAGATCTTTAATGACAGGAATGAAAACCACTGAACATGGCCTGGTCTAAAAGCCAGAATGGAGGAGTGCTTGTACCATGAACACTGCCTCCAGGCTCAAGGTGTGCAACTGAGGAAGTTGATGGCAGTTGGTAATGGCTACTTTGGACAACTTGTGCTGAGCTCTGCACTCCCCAGATCTACTTTGTGCTTCAAAAACCTACAGAGATAGCCCCAGCCCCCCTGGCAGCCCCTTCACAGCTCACATCAGCTGAAGCTCTGTGTTTTGTCACTTCCAACCTTAACCCTAACTGTAAATCACTTTCCCTGAGCTTTTGTCTGGGTGTCACTTGAAGTGGGATTGTACTTCATCCTTTATGACAACTGAAGTCTGCATCCCAGCTGGCCTCGCAGGGTTCAGTACCCATTTTCAAATTTCAGTCTTTGACTCATGCTTGGAAAAAACTTCTTAATGTAGAGACCAGCCTGTGGTTATTTGGTGCTTGGGCAGCTCCCCAGGGAAAAAATAGAGGCTTTCACCTGGCTGGACTCTGCCACCACACTTGGAAAAGGTGTTTGTGTAACAAAGTTGTACCCACTCATTGCTCCTACCCTTCCTAAGTATCCTGTCACTGGACACAGGCTTCTGGAAATAGGCTTCAGATTAACAGATGATCAGCAGTGAACTAGATCAGCGCTGCTCAGGTTAACCGTCACATGCATTTACCCAGCTTGGCATCACATTGTCACACAACCAAGGGACACATCCTGTCTGCCAGCTCTGGGGCAGAACTCACTGCCTCCCCCCAAAAAAGAAGGTACATCCTTAGGCTAAGCAGAGCCATTTTCCCAGTCAGGGTTATAAAACCAGATGGAAAATCTTTATTGATTATGAAGTCTTCCATAATAATTGTGGGGGATGAAGCATCGTGGTCATTGTTCAGGTTATTTTATAATACTTGGTAGAGTAAGAACATCCTAGGAAAAGTATTTCAGTTCAAATCTGTAACACATATTTAATCCCAAGTAAAGCAACAAGGACTATAGAGCACTGTTACTACATCACACAAGAGACACAAAATACTATTTCCCAAACAAGGTCCTTTATGCTCCCATTCTTAATGTTGTCTTTATCCAAGTCCTTAGTGGTCAGCGCATTCAGAACAATTTTTCCTTCCCCTTCACATTTTACATCTCAAAGTACTGATTCTGGTTTACAGAATGGGTTAGTTCACACAGTGCAGTTATATTCTACTTTGAAGGATTGCCCATTGTACAGGTAACCTCCAACTGCCTATCTGTACTCATACGATTATTGTATAACAGGCAGGAAGGTTTTGGTTTCAGTAGTTCAAAACAGGGTTGGATTTCATTCTCTTGTACCAGGCAGTTGTCTGTTGGGACAGTGCAATTCTGTCAAACTGCAGCTTTCCAACGTTCAACAGGAGCTGAGGATTAAGGGCTGCAGCCAAGCCTCTGACAGCCTGTCTGCTGCTCAGGGTGAGCAGCAGCACTGTCCCCAGCCTGGCACCCAGTCTTCTCAGACTGTGTGTGAATGGCACATGTCTCCACCTGCTGCACATTTTGGACACATTTAAAATGACAAAATGAACAACAGGCACAGAGCTTACTTTTGTAGCCATTTCTTTGTTGTACAGTTGACCTATAGCTCTAATACACTTATGCAAACCTTACACATTTGAAAACTACCAAAATAAAAAGGTGGGTATTTGAACTCAGGAAGGCACCCAGTGAAGATTTTCC